AGAAAATACAAGACATAAACTATGGCAAAATAGCATGAAGAATGATTTCTGCCTTGCAAAATAAAAAGAAACAATTAAATCTTTGAATTAAGCCTACTGTGCAGCTACCTTGGATCATAAAGCATCAAGACCAGAAAGAGCAGTTTTGACAGATCTTCATCTCTCTCTCATGAGAAAGAGCCCCCACTGACCCTGTCAAACCTGGATGTTCTCATTCAACAATTATGTAGCTTTAAGACACTTAAGAGAAGAATAAGATATTTATTTACACAATAATTTCCAAACAAGAGAGAGGAAAATGGCAGTGTAATAGATTCTGGTCCCTACTTCACTAAGGTGGTTCTTTCAGCAAGCAGAGTCACCCTCCAATTTTCTCTTAGCAGAAAATGACATTGGACAGCATCCACAACTCAAAACCCAAACACCTAAATTACTCCAAAATAGATAAAAACACCACAATCCATATAATCAAGAAATTTTGCTTTGAAAATACTGTTCGTAAGTCAAAAATGTTTTTAATCATGCTCTGATGAAAAAAAAAGGAAAAATAAGAAAGACTTTTCTCTGGAATATGACAAACTAAATTACAGCTTTAAAGTAAGACCTCATTTGCAAGAGATAAAAAGCATTTGCGAGTGGCTCACTACATAATATCTTTATGCCTTTTTTTTCCTGAAAATGATATTTAGAAAGATAACAATCTTAAAATAGATTGAGAAGAGTTTTGGTTCATGACTGCCATTCTCTACATTTAAAGTCCTACATTTACAGTCTACATTTAAAAGTCCCAGCATTACTAAAAAAGGGGATTTAGAAAACACCTTCAGTGATTTCCCCTGGAACTAGTGTCAACAACTTTTAAGTGTGAAACAAACTTATCTATTGCCTGCACATTTGGATAACTAAAAGAAAACTCAACAAAAATTACACTCTATGGGTGTCTACGCATGCAGTCATGAAAACAGCCTTAAATATAACAAATCACAAGCTCCCTCAAACCAGCACCCCAACAGGCAATGTAGCTGCTTCACCACTGAACTGTCAATACTTCATGGTTCAGTACTTTCAACCTTCACTAGTTAGACATGGCTTCTACAAGTCCTCAGAAGATTCACGTAACTGTTTGCCTCTTAAGTACAGTGGCTGTAGACAGCTTTCAGTCCATCCTACTTGGCACTTCTAAATATTGTTCTTACTTCAGAAGTGACTTGTATTTTGCATACTGGTTCATAGGAATATACTGAAATACCCAGCTCCTAGTGTTATAAACAAAGTAGCACAGATTCCAAAATTAAAAATAAATAAATAAAAGTTTATCGTCAGAGCAGTGCTTTTATTCACTTGCAATGCAATTTACAATGCTCTTCTCACCATAAACCTGCATTAATCAAAAACTGATTAATCAAAATCTCATCTACAATCAAAATGAACTTTGTCATGACAACAGAATCACACTCCATCACTGTTATATTTTTTATATCTCAGAGAGAGAAAATTACATACACTGTTCGAGAATTGCACCCAGATCTCTGGCAACAGTGTCCAAACTTCTATGACACTTTTGAGACACCTTCACACTACCTTCTCCTCTGGTGAGTAACTTATTTATTTGTATTTCCTAATTCAGAAGGGTTCCAAAACAACACTAAGCAGTGATTTCCAAATGACTAATTCTTCATTATTGTAATTTTAATAATGAGGCTATTTTACAACATATCTGTTGACTTAAATACAGTTGCCTGACTTTTGTGTTCCAACTGACATGCACAGTCTTTACTTCAACAACACTCACTTGAAATTACTTAGCGGATATTTAAAAAGATTTAATTATGTGCTACTGTCACATCATCAAAACAACTTATAAGTATCTTTGATATGAAAAAGTGGAATAAATATGGAATAAACACCACAAAATTTGACATAACATGATTTAAAAGCTCCATATTTAAAGTAACTTCTTTATTCATAGTTTTTAGAACAAAATGCCAAATGCTTTTTTTGTTTGTTTGTTTATCTTCCCTCTAGTGGAAGATACCTCTGTGGCAGCAGGGCTGGAACTAGATGATCTTTAAATGTTACTAGGATTTTGATTGAAAAACAAAAACAAAAACCAACAACAAAAAACTAAGCTAAAAGTACCTAACCAGGAACTGAATACAGACAAACAGGATTACATTTACTGATAAGTATTTCAGCTTAGCTTCTCCTGTAACTTTTTCTGATAACTTCAGTAACATGAAGTATATTCTCCAATGATGTCTGCAAAATCAATTAGATTGAGCTACGTTTCATGATTAAACAGCTGATTGGATATTTTTTCCAAATAATTACTGTAGTTTGAACTGAGCTATTCATGACACTTTTTAACTCTTATGGCATACACCTTCTGAAGTACTTTCTCTACCTATGGAATGCATGGAGTAAAACACATGAAACACAAAATTTAGCTGAAAAGCTAAAGCAACTGCACTTCTCAACAATAAATATAACTAACATCTGTTGCAGAAACTGCTTGGCACTTGTTCAGTTTTGTGAGGGATTTTTTGTTACAGATAAATATTTTTCTACAATTCCTATTACACACCACTCAACTCGGACATTTTCTTTAATTATACTCCAAGGGATCTTTCGGATCCATTAAAGAAAGGTAAATTGTTGTCTAAAAGAATACTTGCTTCTTTTAAATTTCAATTGCAATTCATTTATTTTATGACACAAAAAATATAAAGACAGTATCTAAATTTAATGGAGTCAGTTCTGCAAAAAAAGACTAAGAAAATTCTCAATGCTCAAGAGATTAACTTTGTTAAATCTTTAAAAATGCTCTTTTGGAAACAAGAAATAGTCATACAAATATACAGTATTTTATTTTCACTCATGCCACACCTCACTAATGAGAACAAAAGCACACCTTTAAGAAAGCTAGAAATTTCTAAAACAACATCTGCAAAACTGAGTAAGGCTCCTACTTTGCATTCAAGCAAGCACATGACATCATTTTTTCAGGGACAAAATACCAGGAATAGTTGTGTGACAGTCTCCCTCAGTTCATCAGAATACTCTTTTTTTTTCCTTATTATTCTTAAGTAAAGAATTTCAAAGACATACACTGACATCTTAATACGATATTTTTTTTCTGAACCTATGCATTAGTTGTGCACATTTAATAGAATTATTGTATTCAGCATTTCTTAATGACTCAAAGTAGTAATCGAGATTTGTTTGCTATGAATATACATCATACACACAATACAAATATATTTAAATGCTACAGAAAGAATATAAAAATCTATTCCTCTACTGAGATGTCATGCAATTAGTAATGACAGAGAGGGATGAGGAGGGAATGAGGGTAAATGAGGATAAACAAAAAGAAAGGTTTATTCTAAGTACATGAAGGATTTATTATATGCTGAAAAGTTTATTCACCTAGGCTCAAATGCAAAATGAAAAGTTACATCTATAAATTGCAAACTAACTGGCACATGTCACTTGGCAGAAAGACAGTGATTCACTACTCACATGAATCCAGAGAATAAACATTTCTCAAATAAGATCAATAATCATACAAGAAATGATTGAAAATACTTAAATAATAAAAAAGAACATGTCCATTGATGGAAATTGTAATTTGCATTGCTCTGTTACAAAATAAAATCATAACACTTAAGGTAGATTTGGATAAATTAAATTAAACATGATTTAAATGAAGGCATGTCTCAGGGTAGTGTCATTGGACAAGAAAGAATTAAGAAAAAATGCTTTACTTTTATCTTGAACATTAAAATAGAAGAAAATAATAAATTTGTGTATTAAGATCATTCCCTTAAAATATTAATTATCATTTCCTAAATCTATTTTTGGCTGAACGAGACCTAGAACTTGAGGTTTCAATCCCTGTATCATTTGAGCTTAACTTCATTTGAGTAACTTTATATACTAAATCCAAATTCTTTTCCTTTTTTAAACATAGATTCTTGGATTAAAGGATCAACAATTTAATACAAATTTCTGCAGTTTAACACGTATAATTTTCACTTACTTTCTTCCTCCTGTATTAAAAATCTCACTATATCTCAATCCCATTTACATTTCTCCCTTTTAGCACAAACTTTCTATTCTCTTTTGGCAAAAGAGACATAATGGCAAAAATGCAGGAGAGAAAGCACATACAACTGTAGCGTACCAATAGCAGTTACCCTACATAAGATTAAGTTGTGCAATTAATTGAATTAGCATTCTTTATAAAGGTAATGCTTTGGACAAAGAAGTACGTCTGTGACAGCAGAATTTAGAATAACAATCAGCAACAAAGTAAGGTGCTGAAAGAGTCTTGATTTTGCTGTGTGAAAAACATGACTCAAAGAACAAACAAGATTTCACATACAATCTTTAATGTGAAGAGTCCTTTAAATGACATTTACAAACAGAATGACAAAACTGAATTTTAATTTCCTCTTATAACTTCAGAAATTGAGTCTCTTATGATGAATAAATAACTTTCTGCATTTCCTCAAAGACAAATGACTTCATTGGAAAGTATCAATGAAGATTTTTTTTCAGAAACTTAAGGGCAAATGATACACTGAATAGAAAAAATATATGATTTACCAAGTGGTGGATACAAGATAAAGATATTACTTTTAAGAAGAAAATCAGAACAGGTTAAGAACTTCAGAAGAAGAATTGCAACTGTGCTCTCACACCAGTATATAAAAGTTAAGGAAAAAACCTGTTATGTAAAAGGTTCCTCACAACAGCAAACAATATATTGGTTTAAGCAATTTCAAAGAATGGAGTAATGAGATAGACTAAAACTAATAGCAAAAAAACCAAAAAACAACAAGCAGAACAAACAACAAAACACCCATAAAACACTGTCCTAGCATCTTTTGATAAGAGTGGTTAAAAACATCTTTTTACCCTCAAGCAAATCATGGAGAAAATGCAGTGTGCAGACAGTAAATACAAACAGGCAAGGTAATGTCACAGTAACCTACCTCTTGTACAGAGCGAGCTGCTGGTTTGTCTTGATGATTGGCCAGTATTAAAAATGGCAAAGTACATAACTGTGGGTGCTGGAGAGCTGAATGTAGTTCATTCCTAGCAGTTTCTAGATCGTCTTCAGAGGAGGCACTGTCTAATACAAATATTACTCCTTGGGATCCTTGGTAGTAACGACTCCAGTATTTCCTGATATTGTCAGCACCTTTCAAAACAACAGTAACCAATTAGAACAAATATAATCTTTAGAACAAATAACATCTTTAAAACTTGTAATTGAAAATAACCCTTCTATTTGTAACAACCAAAGCAATCAACTAATTTTTTTTTTTCATAAATATACATCATTGAAAAAACAAGGAAAAAAGCACCTATAAATCTGGCACACACACACACAAATTAACATCATTTAAATAAGCAAAGAAAGTGACTGAAGGCTCTGAAAACTTCTGCTCTGTAAATAAGCACTGGTAGAACTACTACAATAATTCCATCTAATCTAGGCTAATCCTGTACTTTCTCACTGAAATATCCCAATATTAGCACATGAACAACATGGCCTTTGCCCATTCTTTCTACCTTAGCCCTATAGGTGTAAACTGTAATTTCCTTCATGTCAGTTGTTCAATATTAAGTATGACAAAGTCTTTTATTTCACATCTCCAAACTTTCAAATACCTTGTAATCAAGGAAAAAAGGTGTCAGGAAAGCCTATTAAAATTACAATTACATGTAAAATGATAAGAATGGTAATACACTAGTGAGTTGAATAGCGAGTGATAAGGTGGTAATTTTCAAAGGTATTCATTTCAACTATTTTGCTCTGTCAACCACACAGCAGATTCTGGAAAAGCCAGCTCCACAATACACATGGTGAATGACTACAGGCTTATGTGTGACAGTAAGTCTTAGGGCACAGTTCAGCAGCACTCAGTCAACTCAACAGAAGCCAAGCAGTAAGGTTATATCTAGAAAGCTTTTGTGTACCCTGGAGAACAGCATATGTTACAATTTCAAGGTAGGAAAAAAAGATATTTGACAGCTGTCAAACTATCTAAATTAAATTTGGACACAGGCTACTCTTTGAATGTCTGAATCTGGCGCTAGACTCATGGGGTCTAGCATTAAAAAGTGAACAGTAGCAGCAATACTCTAGAAGAAAACTTGACATGTTTGCAAGACAGTGATTTGTACAGATGTGCTGAAGGTATCCTTTACATACACCACAAATCTTATGTAGGGATAAGGAAAAGTGAGCTTCAGTGTAGACACAGATACCAAGTGCTGATAAGAAAACTTTTTTTTCCAGTGAAACAAAACAATTATCACAGATGTTCTGACCAACACGTAGTCACAAAATGACAAGGTAATGTAAAATAATTACTGAAACACTGCTATGATACTTAAAATATTCATTGGATTAATGCACTGTACAACTGAAAAGAGCTAGAAAAAGGTGAAGACTAGTATTTAAGAAGGAATTCACACCATGTCCTTTAAGCATCCAACACAGACTATTCAAATCTCACTGCACAGTTACTCCCTTCTCTGTATTCATGACGCTGGAACCTCAGGCATCCAATCCCTCTATTTTGTGCTCAGCACAGTTTAGGTGGCTAATAAACATTGTGAATGCACACTTTTTCCTATAGGGGAACATTTTGTGCTTCATTCGTAGTGGTATGAAGCTATCTTTATTTTCCTCATTTTCAGTACTTTCAGGAGAACAGAACAGCATCACAAAAAAATGTCACTGAAAGGAACTCAAAGATGTCAGATTTGTTAGCTGTCAAACTTCCACTAAGTCTCCATCAATAGCACAACAAATGTCACAAAGACCTTACTTCAAGGTAGATAAGCCTGTGCATGAAAGCTTCTACTAAATTGAAGTTCCTGGAAACCATCTCTCATCTTTTCTCTGCCTCCCAGATTTTCCCAATGAGATTTCTATGAAAGTCAAGTTTTCAGTTTTTCCCTCTTAGCAATCACAGGTGCCGTCTCAAACTTTGAATCTCCAGCTATCCAGATATTTAGAAACATTAAGAAAACATACAGGTTTCAAGCAGTTGTAAGTTTTAAAAACATATTTATATTTGCCTGTGAAAAGTCAGCTTGATCCACTTAGGCATGCGTATTATGTATATTATACTGCCATTTTAAAATAAAACGTGATTTAAAATAAAAATCTCTGGCTCTAATCATGAGATTTTAGAGATTTAGAGACAGTAAGAAAATACATGCCATACAATATGTGCTAATATTTATTCAATTCTAGACCTGAAGTTTTAATAGTTTGTAGTAGGCAGTGCCACAGTGGACTGGATTTTATGTTTGACAGCTGTTCTGAAACTCACTCTTTTTTTTTTTTCCTCTTTCTCTAGAAAGACAAACACACCAAGTCCTCTAGGAGAGAGAATCATTGAGTTTTCCTCTTTTCCTATTATTCCATCTCTATCCTCCCTCACCTCTGCTGGAGATGCCTTAGCAGCTCAGATTGCAGAAACAGCAAAGCAGCTTGCCAAGCTGAATACCACTACCAGCTCACAGCATGGCTTAGATGCACCCTCATCTTAGCTGAGTCACTTTCAGCTACAGCACTCATAATCTCCAACGGAAAGCTCTTTATGCATCTATCTCCACAACACTTAACATCAGCAGGCATATAAACAACACAGTAAGTCTACCACAGCTGTGTTATTTCTGTCTGTCTAGCCCTTCTGCTGACTAGCTCACAAAAGTTTGAATCAGCTTTAGGCTTTGAAAGGATCAAAGCTATTTTGACTTGAATCAAAAAATCAAAACTTCTTCTGGAAATGAAAGTTGTTTATAAAGTGTAGGTATGGTTTATAATGATAAACTATAATGCTATACTTCCCCCCATCAGTTCAGCCTGAAGAAAGCAGAGCTTCATGTCCATTAGAAGAAAGAGCCTTTTTAACATACCAAGAAGTTTTGACTTTTCACAAAAATTCTATTCAACAAAAACTAACCCCCACCCTGCATAAATTGAAATCAGGAAATTTTGATTTTTTGCTTATCAAAGCTATATATAATAGGAGTGCTTGCATAGCTCCTATTTGCTTCAGGTAAGGCAGGAGATAGATTGTGTATTCACACTGCAAAGAGCTAATTGTAAAAAAAGAACATTTCCCCTGAACAGTGAAAAGATCACTGCTGTTCAATGACTGTCTGAATCTCCTCAGGAGTCAACAAGATCAGCAAACAAGTGTAATGATCTCTCTTATATATGAAAGGAGGAAACTTATTTGAGTGATTCTGGGCTTGGGCACTATTTGAACTGAAGGCCGTGTAATTGATAGCTAACAGATCGTCTTTAACACTTTCAGAATATGAATGCCTCTATGAGACTCATAGCTTGGACAGCTCATCAGGATCATGTAAAAATGTCACTTGCTAAGATGTTCCGTAAACTGTTAGATGCAGATACGTCACATGCAGTTGGCAGAACATGCAGTCCATTACCAGATTTTGTAAAGGTGTCAACTGCCTTTTACACAAATACAGCAAAGAAATTTTACTGTTTTGTTCTAATATGTCCCAGTGAGTATGACTGAGGCTGGCATTTATTTGTGGTATCAGTTTTCTGATGACTAAACAGATGAAATTTTAGCTCCCCTACTAGGCTTTGTTGTTACAAGAGTGTTCAGTCCTACTCTCTTTCTTCAAAGGACAAGGTAGGTTTGTGGTTTGCCCATACCTATTTAAATATTAAATTCTATTTAATGGGTCAGCGTCTCTTTCCGCAGCCTATTTCATTTTTTTTCAAGGCAGATAGGACCTGACAGCCATTGCCATCTTCTCCAGGAGCTTGTACTTCCCATTCAACTTGGTTTGCACAACAGCATGACTTCCTCTTCCTACTTTCTCTTCTCTCGCTTGTTACTTCCAAATTAGGACAAAATACACATGCTTTGTTTAACCAGTCTTGTTTAAAATTATTGGTTCTTGAGCTCTCACCTAAACAATTAATTCAGCTGGTTTAACAGTGCAAATTTATTACTATGGACTTGAAGCTTAAGAAGGAACAGCAGTAGGGAGGACAGTTCTCTTATACTGGGCTTGCTCAATTTCGTGGAAATCCAAGCATCCTTGATATTAAGCATTCTGTTCTTGCTCAGCAGCTAACACTTAAATGGAAATTAAAAGACGATTACACAACACGTTGATTTTCTATGCTTATGAAAAAGGCCTTAGTACATTACAAAAACTTACCACAAACACATGGCAATATATTTTAGTAATAAGACGGAGAAAGTTACTAAATCCTCAAACATGTTGTTAGTATTTATAAACTTGGGAAGAAGAAAAAAGAGCTATTCACATCCAAAATCACTCATTTAAATTTGACCGGGTTCAGCAGTTGGCATCTCACAGTAGTTTCTAAGCTTGCGTTTACAAGATAGCAAGCTAAATTATAAAATAGACTTATTCCAAAAAAACAACTGTAAATTATTACGTGGCTTCCAGAATGGGCCTGTAATCTTGACTTAGGCCTAAGTACACACGTCATGCAGATGCCATGACATTGCATTCTGTTTTGACAGCATTTCAACAGTGATTGACTGACTGTATAAATTTACTGAATAAATGACAGTACAAACAATTCTTAGAGTCAAAAAAAAGCTTTGTATTGCCTATACACCTTCATTGTCTGTCTTGAGAATAAACTCCAGCATTCTATATCCCAAACTTCTTCCAGAGTTAGAAGCAAACAGAAGCTTCCGAACGAAGTGTTTGTATCTGCCTTGTTTTTGTAGTCTTTCCTTATTTTTGTTTGTGCTCTTCACACACAATTCCACCTACAATTACCAACAGAGACTGCTGCACCGTAACAAGAAATCATCAAATCTGTAATTTCTTTCTATACCATTACTCAGCTAAGTTGTGTAATGTAAAGAGATGTTTCAAGTTACCCTGGAAAGAGTACAATCTGAAAGAATGTGGTTTAGGGCACACCACATCTGGGGCACAGTAATCCAAACTACAGACATTATTTTATGGACAAAGTTTTTGGAAGAAAGAAGTTCTTTTTTAACTTCACAGAGAGAGAGCAAGAAGGGTTTATTTGTATACAAAAATAGCAACTTAGAGAATGGGAAGTTTGGCTCAATCAGTAAATAAAGCCAGAGCTCCTTTTCAAGTAATATACTTGATTTGAAAGCTACATTCTTATATAGAATAGACATTTTATGTAATTTTTTTTATATGTGTGAAAATGGATAAAATTTCTGATTTCTGGTAGGAAGGCAGTCTGGCTTAAAAATAAGAACAGTAAAAACAAAAACAGAAATAGCATTGGTTTTGTTTTATTTTTCTTTAATATTCTAATTTCATGTACCTCAAAACATAATATGTATTTATTATATATGTGTATATTTTCACACGCACATCATATACATATATATGGCTGGTGGGCAAATATATATTGATCTGCAAAAGAACATAACAAACTTTGTTCCATGTCCCTATTCCTAAAGCCCAATGAAGAGATAATTAGGGTAGAACAGAAAAAAAAAAAAGAAAAAAGAAAAAAAAAGACAACTGTTTTCTGTACATTTGGCATTAAACTTTACAACCCCTACAGAAATGAAGAAACAAAACCTGGCCAATTCCAGCAGGCAAGCAGGACACTAAAAACTATTAACATCTTCAGCCTCAAAGAAGGATACTGTTCTAGCCAAATGAAAAGAATACTACACAGTCAGCATCTGTTTCACATAGGCTGCTTGGCTGCCTTGAAGAACCTTAAATAGTATGACTTTTGCTGTTAGTTCTTTAAATATTGGCTGTTACTACTTCGCTGTATGAAGTCATCTGAACCTTCGAGTTTTCAGTTACATAAAACTAAAAGATAATTCTAAAATAGAATATATAAAAACAAAACTATATAGAATTTCACCTTTGAATGACATGTAACAACAGATGTTGATTGTTAAAAAGAAGTATCCCCACCTTCCTCAAATGTCTGGACAAGACCTTCAAAAGAACTCAGATAACAATTTCTTAATAACTGAATGCAAAAAGCAGGAATAAGAACAAAAACAGAGGCTTCTCTTCCATAACGCTTTCTGTTCAGTCTTTCTCATTGTTACCTGCTGTGGTGGAAAAATAGTAAATTCCAGTCCCAATAACCTATACTTTTTAAATGTTATACAAATAGCAGTTTGAAATGCTCTTGCTCAATATTCCAGGCTCAGACAGAATTTGCTATGAATCACGATTTATTTCATGCTTTTGCAGTAACAGGCAAAGGTATGCCAGATCAGAGAGATGCAGCAGTTTGTATTTTCTACTTCCCAGCGCAAATTTCCTTCCATTTCCTCATTGGCTGAGTACTCCAGGGTTAACAGCCTATCCAATGTTTTTAATTCCCTTAGTGGATTTCCCACCCCTGTTTACTACTAGACTAACCTCTCCCTTCTATTCTTGCTTATGGAGTGCTGGAATAACCTCTCGTAGTTAACCTTCTGGCTAACATTCAAACTGCAGAACCAGTTGCTACCAGTACATCTCCTGATCCTACTCAAAACTGCAGGTTTCCTATTCTGCAAGCATAAATTTATCTTGCATCAGAGCTCCGTGGAACCTCCTTGGACCCCTTTGGAGTTATAACATCTTACCATTATGCAAAAACATTTCTTTACACATAATATGTTGAGATTTGGACACTGTAATTTTTTATAATCAAGTGAAAAAATGCTATACCTCCAAGTTCTTTTACATTCAAGATGGCATTCTGGAATGGCACTGCTTTTATGCTAAAACCTAAAAAAACGAAAAGAGACTAATAAGTTATTTGTTGCAAAAATACATACATATATGCTTTCTTCTAAATGAAAGTTATACCTGAGAGAAAGGGAACATACAAGGCTTACAGCAATCCAACCATAATGCTTGTAATTTAAGCAAGAGTCTGGTATTACATACATACAGAGAAGCATACAGGTATGTAAGTATATATAATAATACTCTATGTAGGAAAAAATACATCTGTTCTTTCAGCATAATATGTACGGACAGAAGTTGAATTCATTTCCATCTGGCACGAACAATTTCAACATAATTACATACCTGCAAACTAAGTAAACACGTTTAGAAAAGCGCGTCAATCCAGGTTTATTAGTTACCATTTAACAGAAACAAGGAATTTGTTTTCCCCAATCAGATTGCTAAGATATTCCAGAATTCTAAGTACTAGTGCAAGGAAATTTGTTGTCTCAAAATAAATCCTAAACTCTTCCTTGAAAAGTAAAAACTGGAATGGACCTGAATGGCATTGATAAGAAAAGCAAAATCACAGGCCGTGGTTTGAAAACCATGTGGAGAAGCAGTCACACTGCATTCAGTGATTCTCAATATTTTCTTATTTAGCAAAGGTATGGTATGTATAGATAGAACTATTGAAGTTGAATAGTTTGGACACTACCTAGTTTTCTACAGAGTCTATTCATTGCTCACATTGTCTAAATATATGATAGTAATTTGTTGCATATATCTAGAAGTATTAAAGAAATCTAATTTTTAAATGAATCATATTTTCATTATTTCCTTTGACAGATCTATGCATCTGTTAACACTGCTGTTACTATTTCTTTCGCAGTTAAAAGTGTTAAACTTAATTTCAGGTGAACTCTTTAAGTTGAAGTTGAGGGGAAAAAATGACTAAATTGATCTGCAACTTCCTTCTAAGCATTTGAATTGAACATTGACCAGAGTGGACTGTAAGATCTTAGCATTACTAACACCACCACTGTGAAGGCAATGGGATGACTATGCATCGCAGAATAAATTGTATTTTCTTTTGTCTAGTTTAGTTCATTTTTCATTTTATTGATTAACGTTATGCTCTTGTAAGTTAAGCAAAGACACACTGAAAAACAGGGCAGATAAGGAACAATCATATTGAATTCAAGTCCATGAAGCACAGCTACAGTATAAAGCCATATAAAGTATACACACCAGTTACTCAGAACCTGTTCCCTCAGCAACTCAACCTTAAACTGCTGTAGCCACACAGCAGTTTTTTTCCATTTCTTATGATTCAATCTGTCCTTTTTTTGAACTCTGCAACCAGGTATTCTTTTTTCTTACTCTGAAATTTTGGTTTGGGTTTTTTTGTTTTTGTTTTTGTTTTATTTTGTTTTGGTCTGGGCTTTTTTGCTCAAAACAGCCTTCAGTCCTTCTGGTACATCTATACACATATGCATAGTCAGTATTTTTTTTTTTGTTAAGATACCTTTTAGCTGTTGTTGTATCTGTTTCTTTTTATCTTTACAATACCTTTTTCTTTTTTTATAATCATCTGTTCGTGCTATATAAATAAGTCTTTCTAATGATCTAAAAGAACAGAATCAGAAATATTTTCCATTATATTAGTCTTCTGGTCGCTAGTATATACCAAAGAGTAAAGAAGTTAAATATGATGTAATTGTCAGTGCTTCATTATCCCATTCCAATTTGTGTCATGACCTCCTCTTCTCTGATTGTATAACAAGACTGCTTAAAAGCCAAGAATAAAGAAAAGAAAGAAACCTTTTAAAATGTCTGCCTACAGTAATTTGCTATTGCCCATTTCATAAAGTTTTATTACATCACAATGTCTGTTCTGACTTTTGACATATTCCAAATTTTATGTTTTTATGGATATCTCCAGTACACAGCCAGACACTGAACAAGTTGTGTAAGCTTCAATGCAATCTATTAAATACCTTCAGAAGCAAGATAACTCTACTGCCATTGCTACTTGTTTCAGAAGTTACCTTTGGACAAGACCCTAAGCACATCATGGAATGAAGACAGCATCCTACCTGTGGTAGACACTATATTCTCTGGGCTTTCACTGCAAAGCTGTGACAGAAGACTTGTTTTGCCGGAACCAGTGAGGCCTATGCAAACCAAATCATATTCAGGTCGTGGTGGTGGTGGTCCTTTGCAGCAAAGTGCTCTAAAACACTGCCAGGAAAAAAACACAAAAAGAAGAGGTTACATTTTTGCAAATATTTCTTTAACAAGATTTTTAAAATCGTGTTTGAAATTGAAAGGTGCTGGCCAGAAAAGAAGTATTATTCAAACTTTCTATTTTGCCAATATCAGTAGTTAACAGAGATCAGCTCAATTGAAATCTAGAGCAGTTTTACAACAATACAAATATACCTGCTAATTATCCACATAAAACTCATGGAGCTGGAGTGAGGAAAGTGACTTCTGTTTCTTGAAGAGAGTCAACAGAGCTTGTGGAGTGAGGTAGGCACATGCCCTACACAACTCTGCATTTCAGAATTAATGAGTTTCCTTCTGAAAGCTAGGAACTGGCAGAAAACTCTAGTTCTAAATGCAATACTGGTGTAAACACCAAAGCAGCTCTTGAACAGCTTCTGGACAGGTTTTCCCTGTTGTCAGAGGAAAGAATCAGAGAGCTCTGCTCAAATGATTTCCTTCATAGCCTTGCTTTGACAGATGCGTAGAAGGAGGACAGCATTTTTCCTACTCTACAATTTCAGATGTTAAAGAGTACAACTTGAAAGAAATGTATTTTGTTGCACATAGCTCTAGCTGTACAAATGTAGGTTTCTCACTATTCCCTAAAAAAGTATGAATTAATCACAACAAATACAAATCACTAACACAACGCCTACCATATGGCTCTGCCCATGTCTCTTAATTAGCATTGCCAGAATAGGCTGGACGATCCAACAGGTCCTTCAAGTCCTTAGCAAGGCAAATTAGACCCTTTAGATGTTACATGGAAAACTACATAAAAACATAAAATCATACAATTCCAATTTTGGATTTAATGTCCAAGATATAATCCCCCATATATAGATACATATATATATATATATTCTCTTTCCATAGTATCTATTGCCTTCATATAAGATTAATCTTGCTATAATAAGTACTAGAAAATGTGTCTGTGCATTCACTTCTCTCTCCTGCATGTTCTGTCTTTACATAGTCTCAGCTTCTGAACCTCCAGCAACAGAAATTTGAGTCTCCATTTCTATCCTGGGGGTGCAGATCATAATGAGACTTAAGTAGTTTTTTCCATCTTAAACACTAGCCAATCACAGCATTGAATAAAGAAACCCAGTCTTCAGGAAAATATTCTAGTACTTGCCTTCATGCATGCCTATACTCTTTCATTCATGGCTACTCCAGGAAGCAAGAAACTGAAGAGATGTTAATAAAACAATGAGGCAAACTGCTCGTTCAGTGTCCCTAAACAGGACACTGAATGAGAAAATGATCACAGAAAGATAGTTCACTATGGCTACAGAAGTTTTATTGGATTTCTTCTACATAATGTTAAATTACTATACCCGTCTTGTAACCACATGGGTACCACCAGTATGACTTAAGCTTTTTTTGAGAGGATTCTTGATGTGCAACTCCCAGATACTTTAAACATGTCTGAGATTGATCTTGTGTGCCGATACACAAAACTGAGCAAGAGATAATCTCTATCTGAAGACAGAATATCTTGCAATAATACTCTCTCGATAAAAATTTCTTCTAGTCTAGGCCTGCACAGAGATGAGAGTGCCGCAAAAAAGGTATTATACACAATTAAAAAATGCCACATCCCAAAGTCGCTCTACATCATTACCATGCCAAAATAATTTCATTTGTTTAAAAAAAAAAAAAAAGGATAAATTCAAGAAAAGTTAAATTCCTTCAACACTATATAAAAAAGTGAAAGACACATTTTAGGAGAAAACTCATTTATTGTAGTAATTAAGTTGAACGACAACAAACTTTTAAACTGTTGAAAGATAACAGTTTAAAAATAAAAAATTTGCCTCTTAAAATTTGACTCTGCCAGATGTTTTTCAAGAAGGATAGCCCTTATATGTGTTTTAGATAAACATGTCTTCCAGCTTTACTCACTGACGTCAATCCATGCTTACCCTATGAACTCTAGAAAATCATAGCAAATACTATACTCTGGTACTTGTGAAAAACACCAACTGAGTTTATTGCACAGCATAAGCTCCTTCAAACTGCGTTTCCACTGAAGATATCAGGCTGAAGGCCACATAAAATTCTTTGAAGCTCTCCAGAGCTCTTGAATCTGTGTCAGGCTCTTTGTACCCAGTCTTTAAAGGGTATTCAATCTGCTCCCATAAAGACGGCATGTTTGCAAGAACTTCTTGATATCACATTAAAAACAAACAAATAAGTTAGTTGATGAAAATCCATGCTTCTCACTGTCTAGATACTGTGACAGTTTTTGTGTAACTAGACACAACTCTTGCAGCCCTGAAAACATTAATTCTCTGCAGTTCTGCCAAAGATAATTATTGCCATCTGTAGGATACATACAGAAGCTGTGCGTGTGAAAAGGGCTCCACAGTCCACACACTGCTTTTGTGAACTTCAGTCTGTCTGAAGTGTTGATTTCTTAAAATCTAAGTTAGCCTATAAAGTCTTTAGCTGCTGTTGATGGAACATACGATCAAAAATCTAGGTGATCTTGAGTGTCCTAGGCGGCACACGCAGACCCACCACCCACTCGCTCATCCTTTATCTGTAAGCATAGACACATATGAAAGGTCATAAGAATTAGCACACACAGTGCTCCAAAGACAGTAAAATAGTTTGCTTCAGACCACTCTCATATTTTGATATAAACATCCTCTTTTCGTGTCTCCTATCTCTTTGTCCTTATGCAAGGATGACTTCCTTCTGCCTTCTCCCTCCTTTCCTGGTATAAAGAAGAACATTAAGTACTTTATCTTCAAAAAGCTGTTTAAGTTTAAGCTGCTGTGTATACTACTTTACACTGGCTGGCATGAGAAATACTACAAATTCTCTTACTACCAGCACATTTCAGGAGACATTTTTAATAATATATTTAAATTTCATAAACTTGTTTCAGTCTTCCTCCTCACAAACTCAATGAACAATCTATCATCAAAAACAACACTAATCAGACAGAATGATAATTGCCTTCCTGCTCTCTCAGCAACTTAAAAGTTACAAAATCCCAGACAAACAAGGGTTATTTAAGCACCCAGAGAGCACTCAGAAACTAAGCTTCATTACTTTGGAAGCTACATCTAGAATCACAGAATCATTAAAGCTGGAAAAGACTAGTCCTCCCGTCAAGCCATCCCCATCATGCCCACTAACCATATTCCTCAATGCCACATCTACACATTTCTTGAACACCTCCAGGCACAGTGACATCACCACCTCCCTGAGCAGCCTGTTCTAGTACCTCACCACTCTGAGCAGTTTTTCCTAATATCCAAGTCGAACCTCCCCTGGCAAAAATTAAGGCCATTACCTCTCATCACTGTTACTTGGGAGAAGAGGCTAACTCCCACCTTGCTACAACCCCCTTTCCTGGCAGTCAAAAGAGAGTGATAAGATCTGTCCTGAGCCTTCTCTTCCCCAAACTAAACATCCCACTTCTCCTCCAGAGAACACACAGTTCAGAGTTCACACAGAGAACTCAGAGTTAATAATATAAAGAAATAAGACTACATTCATTATTCTACTTTTGATTATAAACATAATCCTGAGATTTTTTACAAAGCATGGATGACCATTGATTCATTATTTAAGATGTCATGATGTATTATAGTGAAGTCTAAAATGTAAAAAGTAACATGCCTATAAGGTGTAAAGAAGCCAAACCTGAAACCCAGAAAGAGAAATACATCAAAAATATTTAGCATGCCATTGTACTCCCTTCTCCATTCAGAAAAGCCAAACAGCTAAGAAAAATGTGTATTAACATTCTAGCTGGTCTTCAGAAACTTGTCAGATATGGACTCAAGTCTGATTTGTTCAACAAATATAGCCACTGGATAGGAAGCAGGTTAAAAGAGGCAGAAGTTATTTTTTTCTTTTAAAAAATAAAATTTAAAAAAAAAAAACCCAACCAAACAAAAACCCTGAAATTACAGTATCTTGAGAAAATTTATGCTTTTAGCCAATATAGGAAAAAAATCATTTATTTACCCAAAAAACTGGGAACAATTACGTTCTGCAGTTGGTAGGAAAACGTTCAGCTCCACCGTACTTCCATTTTTACTAGTACATGTACACGATATGCACAAGCATGTTTAATGCAAGAGGTAAGAGAGTTAGCCAGTCCTACTCTCACATAGGGATTTCTATTCCAATCAGATTATTCCAGTTTTAGGATGAGCCTATAAGCTGACAATCCTAGACTCTGGCCATTTAGAGGCCTACAGAAGTTTCTTCCAGGAAAATCACTAAGCATTACACCTATACCAGGGGTGGCCAAACCCAGAGCTCACACATTGAAGCTTTGAGCAAGGAACATCACTGAATCACTGCTTCCTCCATTGAGTCTGTCTTTACCTACTCACTGTACTTCTTTCACTCTCCTTTCTGAGGTGAAATACGCCATTATTTCTGCTTTGCTCAGGACTCATCTCCTGTCTGTTTCTTTTGTTGCCACTATTTAATAGGGATAAACAAATGCAAGGGATTTCATGCTTAGTTGATTAAACACACACACTCAAGCAAAAATAACCTGCAGTGCTAACAAATCAAGCAGTCAGAGCTCTTGAAATCCAGAATTAAAGCTGAACAGTTCAACCATAACTCTGCTGTGCTCCTCTCCTCCTCCTGACTATAGTTGTGAATATAGCCTCCCTTCATGTTTCATTTTTCAATTAAAATACCATTAATTATATTTCAATTATCCAGCACACCTTTCTATCCAGAAATTACCTGAAGTTGCTGACAAAATACCAAAGAGATTATTTAGAAGAAAGAAAAGTGTGAAGGTTATACATGGCAGGCCCATAATTCTGATGCTGTCCATGATCACACAGTCACAAAGGAACCTCAGACCTTGAAGAGATAAGGTGAAAGGTGGGGTTTGATGGCTGAGAAGTAGAGAATTAGAGTACTATAGATAGAAAACAATTGGAGACAGCGGTGGACTAATCCAATGAAAACGATGAAACAATCTAGGA